GTTGGTGTGTCAGCTCAGGTCCTCCCTCTTTAAAGATTTCAGCAGGGATCCCGTCTGGTCCACTGGCTTTGTAATTTTTCTGTTGGCTGATGGCATTGCTGACTTCTTCCAAACTGGGCAGTGCTGCAAGCTCATCCCTGGTTTGTTGTTGTGGGATTTGTGAGAGGACCTCTTCGGCCACATTGGAGCTGCGGTTCAGGAGGCTTTGGTAGTGTTCTTTCCAACGTAGTGCAATTGAGTTTTGGTCCTTCAGGAGTTTGGATCCATCTGATGAGCGTAGAGGCTGTATGCCATGGTTTCTTGGTCCGTAGATGACCTTTGTGGCCTTGAAAAATCCCTGAGCATTATGGGTATCTGCCAGGTGTTGGATTTCTTCGGCCTTCTTTGTCCACCAGATGTTCTTGAGTTCTCTTGGACCTTTGGACCTCAGCTTTTGCACTGGCATAGATCTTTTTCTTAGCTGCACAGTTGATGTCTCTCTGCCATGCTTGGAAGGCTTTCCTTTTCTTGTCAATTAGCTGTTGGATCTCGATGTCATTTTCATCAAACCAGTCTTGATGTTTCTTGGCTTGGTATCCAATAGTTTCTTCGCAGGCTTGGATGATGGAGGTCTTCAGTTTGTTCCAATGTTCCTCAACATTTTCGGGGTGTACTGTGGGTAGATGGTCCTTGAGTGCTGTTTGGAGATGGGCTTGTCTGGAGGGCTTCTGAAGGGCTTGGGTGTTCATTTTGCGCCTTGTCTTCCTTCCTTGGAGTCTGCGCTTGGGAAGGATCTTGATAGCCATCGAGGATCGAATTAGCCTGTGGTCAGTCCAGCAGTCGTCAGCACCTGTCATGGCTCTTGTGAGGAGCACGTCACGGCGGTCTCTGGCACGTGTGATTACATAGTCTAAGAGGTGCCAATGCTTTGACCGGGGGTGCTTCCATGATGTCTTGAACTTGTTTTTCTGGCGGAAGAGCGTGTTGGTGATGACAAGGTTGTGCTCCGCACATTTGGTGAGAAGCAGGATGCCATTTGAGTTGCTGTTTCCAACCCCGTCTTTTCCTATGGTCCCTGGCCACAGGTCGAAGTCTCGGCCGACTCTTGCCGTGAAGTCCCCCAGGAGGATGATTTTGTCCTCCTTAGGTATCCCCGATAGGACGGTGTCCAGCTGACAGTAGAGTAGAATTTCTCCTTGATGTCTTCGTCAGCATCTAGTGTTGGTGCATAGGCACTTATGATGGTTGCCCGTTGGTTTTTGGCAAGATCGATTCGGAGGGTTGAGAGTCGTTCGTTGATGCCAGTGGGTGCTTCGGACAGATGTTTCATCAGATCATTTCTGATGGCGAAGCCAACTCCGTGTATTCTTTGGTCTTTTTCGGGCAGTCCCTTCCAGAAGAAGGTGTAGCCTCCTTTTTCTTCCTTCAGCTGTCCCTCTCCTGCTCTCCGGGTCTCCTGAAGGGCTGCTATGTCGATGTTGAAGCGTCCCAGCTCCCTTGCAATGATGGCAGTTCTGCGTTCGGGGCGTTCACTGCCACTGTTGTCCATCAGAGTCCGTACGTTCCACGTACCGAAGTTCATTTTTCTTTTTTGGCCGCAGGGTGGTGACCCCACTGGACGCGGCAGTCCAGTCAGGGATAAGTGAGGCAGACTATGTTTAGGGCACCTTTTCTAGCCCCCTCCCCGTGTGGGGTGAGCAGAGTGGGTCCTCAAAAGGGCTGCTCAGTCGCGGATACAGCTGCCGAACTACTCAACTGCCTCGGACCTTGAGGTAGAACGACTGAGTCCGTACCCACCGCCCATGTGCCAGTCTGTGACTAGGGGCTTCCAGATTTCACAGTCCTGCCCCCGTCGCCACTCGCTGATCGCCATGGGACTTTGGTTGCTTGGTTTTTATTTTCTTTGGAAGACGCCTGTGCGTGGGTTTTTTTAATGTGTGGAGGTCAGTGCACAACTGATCAACACACAGACTTCACAGAGTGAGGTTCCACTGGTGATGTAGTTTAACACAATGACCGTGGCTTCTCAGTCTGTTGCAGCCTTCTTCCGCCTTCGCAGCCGTTGTAACATGTGCCATGTTATCCTCCGCCTGCTCCGCCGTTGAGGTCTTTGGGTCTTCGGACTGTGCTTGGTCTGGAACCTCCCCCGCGGCCACTCCTGGGAGTGCACGACTCCAGTTGTTGTGCCTACAGGTTCATCGGAACGCGCAAGCCCCCTCACCACGACAAGGTGACAGTCCATCGAGGGGGGAGCACCATTACCTTCCCGCAGAAGTGGTAGCTATTGATCTACTCACATTTGCATGTTTTCGAACTGCTAAGTTGGCAGAAGCTGAGGCTAACAGTGGAAGCTCACCCCGCTTCCTGGATTCAAGCTGCCTTTTGGTCAGCAAGTTCAGCAGCTCAGCAGTTAATAAATGAGATTAAATATATGCAAGCATGAAGTGTGGATGTCGGGACAAAAATCCTAGTTATACATATATACCAATGAAATCAGAGCTAGCAGCAACTGATCAAGGAAAGGATCTCAGGAATGTGATACAGCAAAAAATTAAATTGCTAATATCATGTTGCATGTGTGTGCCTTCAAGTCAGTTGTCAATTTATGACAGCCCCATGAATTTCACTAAGCCCCTTTCTACGCTGCTATATAAAATCCAGATTATCCAGAGTCATATAATTCAGTTCAGAGCAGATTATGTGGATTATCTACTTTGATAATCTGGATTATATGTCAGTGTGGAAGGAGCCAAAGTTTTCTTGGGCAAGGAGATTTTACCAGCTCCTTCCTCTGAAATGTAGTTTATATCACCAGCTATGCATATATGGTCTCTCATCCAAGTACTAACCAATGTTGAGTCTACTTAGCTTTCAAGATTAAACAGAATCTGGTGCCTTTAGGATATTTAATTCCATCTGTGTATGGGATATCCATATTGACCACTACTACTTCTGCATTTTGACCACAGGGACTGACCATTTTGAAACTTACAAGGAAATAGCTTCTCCAAAAGGATGGAGGTGGTGGAAACAGCCCAGTCTGACTTCAACAACATCAAAGGATCCTGTAGGAAAACGGAGTCTCTTCTTTTAAACAACTTGGTGGAAGAGCCTAAGAAAGGAGCATATGTTCCCAACCACCTTCTGGAATCTAGTAAGTAATTGATTCAATACTCCCTGTCAAAAAGAGTAGTTTCTTATAGACTCTTATTCACATAAGTTGTATCCAGAAGTACACTGTATCATGAAGTACATCTTCTTGTGTTTTTGTTTCATCTCTTGCATTCTAAGCCTTCAAAACATTAAAAAAGAAACATTATTGTTCTGTATTAAACAATGATAAAAAAACATAGTAGTGCAGTTGTGGCCTAACATTGGAATCTAGTTGAGAAAAAAAACAGAGCACCAACCTCAGGATAGTTCTAAGCTTGTCTTGATCCCTTCCACACAGCTGAATAAAATCCCACATTATCTGCTTTGAACTAGAATATATGGCAGTGTGGACTCAGATAACTCAGTTCAAAGCATATATTGTGGGATTTAATATTCTGGGTTATATGGCTGTTTGGAACTGCCCCTAGGTGGAAAGTGTAGATGAATAATGGAGGTCACTTCTAATTCATCCCAATGTGCAACTTGTTTTCAATGCTTGAGCAGCGTCATACACCATTTTGTGCAAAGATGATGCTGTGCTATACAAACTATGGCACCGTGCTATCTAAAATAAAACTGAACCTCACTGAAAGAAATGGAACAAATTAGCTGCTATTAACTTTAATTGGGGTAATCTTTTATTGGGTAATCAGTGTGTTATTTATTGCTTAAACTTCCTGAGATGTCTTCCCTTTAATTTCAGAGATATATACAAAGCTTTTAAGAAATGATGTCATTCAGGCAAAACCTGCCATAATGCATTTTGGAGGATATGAAATAGAAAAACATCATCAACAAGTCCTGGTAGGTATTGAAATTGTTCTTTGAAATGAGATCATGTACAGTTGTTCCTCCGCTTTCTTGGTTTTCACACTTGTGTTTTTGGTTATTTGCAAACTTGTACCTCCCCCTCCCCCTCCTGAAGATGGGGCTGCTGTACGAACATTCATCCAGCAGCAGCCTTATCCTCAGAAAGTGAGGAGGGTATGCCGTGTGTTTCTGTTACATCTACTATTTTCCTTCCTTTGTCAAGGCAAAACAAAATATGGGAAGAGGAAGATCCAGTCCTGTGCGCCATTTCACTTATCCTGCAGATCCAGCTTCTTTTTCTGTGTGTCACAAGCATCTGTTTTGCTTGGACAAAGGAAGGGAGGTTGTGGGGGCAAAGGGGAACACACAGTGCACAGAACTGGTACCAGATCTACAGGATAAGTGATGTTACGGACACGTACAGGGCCGGTTCCTCCTTCATTTCCCATTTCCTGGGTGCCTCTGTTTTCTCTGGTACCTCTCTTCTTTTGCTTGGCTGAAACAGATACTTGAGGCACATAGGAAGAAGAGGAGTGTTGTGGCTCAGTGAGTGGCAGAGGATTCTTTTGATGTTTCAGAGGATGGGTGAGTTGATGGGTTTCAAAGCGATGAGTCTGTCGATGCTAGAAGAGAATTGCAGACAGTTGAGGATGATGTTTTGTATTCCAGTGAAAGTGAAACCAGTTGTCTTGGGAAACAGCCTCCGGCTGATTGGGAGTTTTCCCAAGAAGCCAGATTAGGTTTGAGAATGGAGGGAGTGAAAAATAGACTAATTAGATGTTTTGATAGAATCCGTGAGAAGGCCTTGAAGCCCAAGTGTGTTCAGCATGATCTCATGACTACGTGGTAGGGCTTAAATTAAGTGGTGTTTGCTTTACGCCCCTCAAAGGAGACAACGTTGCCATAAGGATGGCTTTCCTGTCTCAGCTCTCGAGTTCATGATTCAAGTTTCCTGTTTTTGCCTTTGTTCCTTGGAAAAAGTTCCTGTTTTCATGCTTATAGATTTATGTTTGAATGACTTCTGTGGGTTTTGACTCTCTTGACTTTTAGGTACTATGACATTTCTGGATAGCTGCTAGTTTGTATTTTCTACTCTGCTGCCCTTTTAGGAAATGCTCTTTTCCCCTTTGTATATGCTTTATTTAATACACCTTTGGAGATAGTACTACTGGACTCTGGTGTCGTGCTGGGTGAATAGGTGTTTCAAGGCTAGAGTGCAACAGCTAGGCCCACACCAATTCACTTACCCTGCAAATCTGGCTCCTTGTCCTCTCCCCATGTGCCACGAGTGTCTGTTTCACATGTGCAAAGGAAGGGGGGGGGGTTGCAGAGGAGCAGAAACACATGGCACATAGGAGAAGGAAAAGGAACCAAATCCGCATGTTAAGTAATGTTGCGCAGAACTGGTTCTTCTTTTTCATCGTGTTTGTCAYGTATTTCTGTTTTCCCTGGTACCTCCTTTCCTTTGTCCAGGTGAAACAGACACTCACTTCATGCAGAAAGAGGAAAAGGAGCCAGGATCCACAGGGTAAATAAAGTGACACATGGGACCTGTTTCTCCTCCTCTTTCCCCACTGTATCCCCTCTAGGAATTACAACAGTGGTATCCCACCCCACACACCCCCACCCCACACACCAATATATTCATGGTTTTCCCACTTTTTGCAGGGGGACTGCACCCCTAACTCCCACAAAAGTAAAAAGACAACTGTAAATGTGCACAGTATCCACACTTTTTACATTTACCTTCATCACCATTTAATGACATACTTAGAGAAAATATTGTTGTGTTGTTCTGTTTTTTCAATGTAGTTTTTTGTTGGCTTATTTTGTTCTACAGAAACTTGTAAATATTTCTGCTGATCTTATAAACATCCATATTCTTCCACCAGAGACAAAGTACTTCAAAATCAAATATGCCAAAACTGTAAGTCTCAGTTGTAGCCTTCACATTTAATCTTATTTATTTATTTATTTATTTGTTTGTTTGTTTGTTTGTTTGTTTATCTGAATTTCATTGCACTGAAATTCAAGTGGTTTGAGAGTACTTTTTGAAAAATTGTTCTGTCTTTTTAAAAAATTAGTATCGACTTGTCCCCGGATTATCTTTTACAATTATGGTTGATTTCTGTCCTGATGAATGGCGATACTATTACGATTGCATCCGAATCCATTCTCAGGTAAGATGCATATGTGCTGCTCCCTCTTCATCTTATATAAGTGAAAATATATAATATATAATACAGAACAACTTCCATATGGAGGGGAAAATTTGTTCCTAAACTTACTCAGCAAACAGGAAACCCAAAATAATAGTAAGCTCAATTGAAGTGAATGACTTTTGCTGGAAGTTTCCAAAGGTATTATCTATAGAAATTCACCTGGGCCTCCAGAGTGACTCTTATGATAACTTCTCATAATAGACCACCTTGTAAACCTATCTTCAAGACCGCATCTCCTTCTGTGAACCGGTGCGGGTGCTAAGATCTGCCATGGAGGCCCTCCTCTCAGTCCCACCTCCGCCTCAAACACAGTTGGTGGGAATGAGAGAGAGGGCCTTCTCGGTGGTGGCTTTGGAATGCCCTCCCTAAAGAAATTAGGGTAGCCCCTACTCTCCAAGTTTCCCAGAAACACCTAAAAATGTGTCTTTTAAAACAAGCTTTTGACCATGTTTAGGGATTATAGCCTTAAGCACTATATTTGATGACTTAGTGCTCACTTCCACACATTATGGGAATTGATATTGTACACAGCCATTATTTGTGTAATTTGCTGGGGTTTATAATATCTTTCAAATTGAAAGTGGTTTTATTGCTGTTTTAAGTATAATTGGGTCAAATTTATTGTTACTAATTTTATCTTTCTGTATTTTTCTGTATTTGTATTTTATTGCACTATTGGGTGCTTTCTGTGAGCCGCCCCTAGCCCCTTCAGGGTGATGGTTGCGGGATACAAAGAAAGTTTTATTATTATTTTATTATCACCTGGAGGATCTAGAAAATTCCTAGACATTTTTTGTCTAATGCAGGTAGGTGAACCCATAGATAGCGGTCCCACAAAAACAGTGGGTTGTATTGTACTTTATCACATGCACAGATGATAGATGTTCCAACCCATGTACATAGGTACTAACCAGTCTTATTTGGCATAACCCCTAAATCTCTTTCCCATTGTCCTGCTTAGTAGGAATGGAGGCATCTATATTATTTATTATGTGCCAGATGCTTTAAAAAATAAAAAAAATGTAGACCACATAACCCTGACGCTTGTAACCAAACTGCACAGGAATCATTAAATAGTTATCACCACCCCCTCAAATAATATTTATTTTTACAATAGTCTGTACAATTTTCTTCTTGTTTATTCCCCCAGGGAGACGACACACTGCTGATTCCCCTGCATGCCTATCCTGTGATGAATACTGTAGACTTTCCATCCTACATCAATTTATCTGATGTTCCCCTGGGACAGAGGCAAGCAATGATTTGTTATTGTAATTTGTTTATTTTGTGATTGCTAACATTAATTAGCATAATGTGAACTTGGAGGTTTAGGTGGACACAAAGGACACCTTTTCTTAATGTCATATTAACCCAATCAGCAATTATAATTACAACCGATTTTGCTATAACAATATTTGTAAATTTTTCTTTTAGTGAAATATTGTGGAATATTTTTAATTTTTTATAAGCTTATTTACAGCAGGTGGACTTTTCAGAATCTAATGAGATTTCTGTGAGGCAGTGTAATTCTTCTACCGGGATTAATTGCTGTTGCGGTCTTGTTGTGTAAATGTTCTCCATCTGGACATAGCTAATCTCTAGAAACATAGGAAGCTGCTTTACATCAATGCCCTTCTGAGAAAGCTGTGCTGCAGCTGCCATCTTTACCAACAATCTTGGGAGGTGTGATGGATTTGATTTTTGGTTTTCTTCAAAATTCAGGTTTTTTCTTTCTTCACCTGTCCTAAGAGCTGTGCTCAGTTCCTCTTATCCTGTCTGCCCATGTTTGCTTTGGTTATGATTGCAGCCTGAATTAGGAAATGTTGAAAACCTATTAGTGATCCTCCGTATTACTTTTCTTAAAAAATCCTCCATATTACTTTTCTTAAAAAATCCAACTGCTTTAAAAATACATTTCTTGGAAATATGGCACAGAAACTACATTCTTTCCTAATCAGCTGGACAGAATTTTTTAGACAAAGGGTTTACAGAACGTAGGGACTGTTTTAGTAAAATACATACACTTTTAACATAGTTGAACATATACAGTGCTTTTCTGAACATGTTTGTTTGTCTATTTTCTGGAGCCAGACATTAACAAATCATTATCTTTATAGATAAGTGCAGCTTTTGTAAAATGCGCACAGAATCATGTGTCTTAATTCAGTTGTCAAACTACGGTTGACCATCTGAATCAATGGAAATGTATATAAGTGTTGATTTACCAAATTTTCATTGATTCAACTGATCTGTTCTAATTGATTTTGGAAAGGCATAACTTTTTAGAGATCATAACCTTTTGGAAAACTAGAATCTCCATAACCATTTGGAAGTGTGACCCTTTTTGGAGTTCAGTCAGCATTCACACTATTTGTAATAATCATAACCTTTTGTAAAGTATGATCTTCCTGAGAAGAGTTAAAAACTCACTTGAGTTAATCTTCTCCTTAGTGGTAAATATCCACTAGTATTCATGCAAGGCAATTTAGTTTTCTCAGTTGTTAGACTGATATATCTGGTTTTCTCTTTGAACTGTTAGAAACAAAGATATGCCAATGCATAAAATATATAGATGTTCAGAAGTGCTGTTTCAATTGCCCAAAAAATCCTACTTTCCCATAAAATATATTACTTTTAAACCAGGCTCCCAAGAGACCAAAAAATAAGTAGTCTTCATTAAAAGTTAGCATCATTGATTTACTTACAAAACTTCTTGTATTCAGCATACAGGTGCATTGCTTATTGGCTCAAAGTTTAAACAGTCTGTTCTTTAAGCATTCTGTTTCATTCCCGTCTCTGTTGCATACAGACGAACACTCTTCTGATGCATACTGTACTCAACTAGCTTCTAATGCAGTGGTTCTCAAACTGGGGTCCCCAGATGTTTTTGGCCTTCAACTCCCAGAAATCTTAACAGCTGGTAAACTGGCTGGGATTTCTGGGAGTTGTAGGCCAAAACACCTGGGGACCCACAGGTTGAGAACCACTGTTCGAATGTATACTGACTGACTGATGCAGCATACTTGACTCAACTACATACTGCACTGACTGACTGATGCATACGGACTACTATACTATACTCAAGTGTACTTACTTCTAAAATCGGTCAGAATAGTCCCAGATCTGGTCACATGGTCTGTAGTCCCTCCCACAACCTTAAACAACATAGAGTTAAGGGGAAAACTGCATACCAATATATGCATACAATATAGTAAGCAATCTCAATTTTATGCATAACAAATAACTAGTATAGGAGGCTTATTGAAGGTTGCCATTTCCAACAGTTGGAACTAAAGGTTGCACTTCCTCCAAAGAGATGGAGCTCAGAATCTAAACCTCTTGAATGATTGAGTTGGAAGTGACCCCAAGGACCATCCAGCATATCTCAGTGTATTACTGCTACATTCAAATTCATTATTATATCCTTCATCAGGGTATAGATATCCCAATGAACGTAAAGTGAAATAATTCTAATTGCTTTGTCCCTTTTTCTCTTTCGTAGCAAGAAATACGTGATCCCTCTGCAGTGCAGCTGTCCCATAGATTTTGAATTCTGCGTGGAGTATCTTCAGCCTCACAAGGCCTTTACAATCCATCCAACATCTGGTAAGCTCTCAGATGGGAAGCCGTGTTTCAATAGCATTTGAACTTATCACACTAGTATCTTAATTATATAAAAAATCTGAGCCACAAATTAAGAACAGAGCTCCTGCTGAGCAACTTCAGCTATGTAGGCAAGTCTTGCTGCAATAGTTATAATCTGCCCAGTTCTCTTCACCTTGTGGCTGAAATTAATCTTAATTTCTGCGTTATTACCAAGTACAATTCAACACCAGTCTACTTAGGATCAGAACTTGGAAAAGTTACTTTTGGGGGGGGGATGTAACGCCCACTATCCCATGCTGCCTGGGAGATTCTGGTTGTTTTGTTGTTGTTGTTGTACATAAAGTAATGTTTGAAAGACCAGATACACAAACACACCTGAGCTCCAAACCAAAACAGAAGTAGCTTTTTGTAACAAAACAGTTTTGTGCTTGACATCATGTCATCTGCATCAGTATAGAAAGAAGTATGGTTGCTTGTTAGTGCAAAGGGAAGTCTAGTAAACAGAGCTCTAGCACATGCTAACCCTGTCCAAGGGAGTTAGGATTCCTCTCCCACAAGTAGCTTGTTTTCCAGTCAGCTGATCAGACACACACACTCTTTAAGGTCTTTCAAAATGATCTCCAAGAAACCCCCCATGGTTAATTCATAATCCTTTCTCTGCTATATTTCTTTCCGCCCAGGCCCGTAGCCAGGATTTCGTTTCGGGGGGGGGGGGGGGGGGAATTTCAGGGGGGGTTTCGGGGGGGGCTGAGGCTGAGTGAAAGAGGGTCTACCCTAGCAAACCTTTTGTATCATTACCCCAATACCCCCATGCATATGGATATATTGAGCATGGTGATCAGATCATGATATGAATAAACATAACAGTTTAAATAATGCATCAGTAAGGCCTTTTTGTGAACCACCATGAGAATTTCGGAGGGGGGCTGAAGCCCCTCAAGCCCCCCCCCCCCCCCCCCCCCGGCTACATGCCTGTTTCCGCCTGTCAGCAGGACATTGGGGTGAATAAACTGACTACATTTCCTATATCTTCTTAATTACAGGAATCATTCCAGGGAATGGAAAAGTGGAAGTGGTTGTTACTTTCAAACCATTCGAATATGGAACAGCCCAGATGAAATTGCAGTTGTGGATTTCACAGTTCAATTCAAAACCTTATGTGTGTTCATTCACAGGAACATCGACTCCACAGCCCAGTTTAACGTATGCAATGCTTTCAACTTTTTTTCCCACCAAGAGACCTTTATAAAATAATACTTTTGTAGTTGCTTTTCTATTAAAGCAGTTATATGATGATCCATTTTGTGGTTTAACAAACAAACCAAGCCAATGTAATTCAGCTACAAGGATAGTTGCATTTGTATTGTCAAAGGCTTTCATGGCCGGAATCACTGGGTTGTTGTAGGTTTTTTCAGACTATATGGCCATGTTCTAGAGGCATTATCTCTCTAGAGAATGGAGAGAATGCCTGTAGAACATGGCCATATAGCCCAAAAAAACCTACAATAACCCATAGTTGCATTTGTTTGATTGTAATCAGTATAAATAACCAGTCATAACTGATTGTAGTGGAAACCTAAATTCAATAGACTTATTCAGGATCCAACTCATCATAACCAGTTCATATAGGTTCCAGTAACATATTTATTTATTTTATTTATTTATTTTTGTCGTGTCAGGAGTGACTTGAGAAACTGAAAGTCGTTTCTGGTGTGAGAGAATTGGCCATCTGCAAAGACATTGCCCAGGGGATGCCCGGATGTGTTTTTTTTTTTTTGATGTTTTTACCATCCTTGGTTTTTAAATGTTTTTACCATATTTATTAATAACCCATGTATATTTGTATATCCAAGTACCTATGACAAATTCCTCACTGGTGTTATATAGTGATCCACACAGAGAAATGTAAACTTAATATACATGGCCCCACCACTTTTCCCCATTGTTGTAGTCTACTGAATAATAAGGCTTTGGACATTGTGGGCAATATAATTCTCCCAAGGGGTTTTGCCATTGTCACAGCTCTCCCATCTCTTTGACTTCACATGTGGGGAGTAAATCTAGCACCCCATCCCACCAATTTCCAGTTTCCAAGAAGCATTCAGTTCCCTGGAAGGCTATACAAACAATTCACTAACATGTGTATCATTTCCCCATGCCAACTGGTCAAAACCTTTGTGTGTATTCAAACTACCCTTTTGTGACTAGTTATCAAAAAGTATCTCTGTTTCACTTCTAGAAAAAAAGACTTTGAGAAGCAAGAAAAAATACTACAGAAAACGATAAGAAGTCCTGAAAAGGAAGTGTCACACATCCTGCAGAGGACACTATCGCCAAAACGTATGCAGCTCAGTCCCTTCCACAAAGTGCAAGTAAGGCTGTAATGAAGAAAACAAAACAGAAGTTGTAGAAAGAAATTACATCCACTGTTTACTTTGACATGCCTAATTTTGTTTCATAGTCCATCAAATACAAAGATTTGCACTTCCCGATTGACTTGTCAAATCACTCCGCTGTGGCCACTGTTTTGATTCAGGAGCCAGGCAAACTAAAGATAAGGCGCTTAAGAGAAGGTAACAGCTTTGAGTGTTATATTGTGTGTAAAGTTTGAGTTTGTGATCATGCTTATAATGCTATTAAAGCCCCCATATCCATGGAGGATATATTCCTGGACTTCAGGTGGATATGCAAAACTGCAGGGAATACCAAACCCTACTGAAATGAAAACTAGGACATTAAGATCATCCGGCGAGGCCCTGCTCTCGGTCCCGCCGGCATCACAGGCACGCCTGGCAGGGACAAGAGACAGGGCCTTCTCAGTGGTGGCCCCTCGGCTGCGGAATGCCCTCCCTACAGATATCAGATTGACCCCCTCCTTATTGGCATTCCGGAGGAAAGTGAAGACCTGGTTGTTGGAACAGGCATTCGATTAGGCAGTGTAATTGATTACAAGGAACACGGAATAACGGATGATGAGATTGGATTGTGATTCTATTGATGAGATGTGAATGATTTGTTATATTGATGTTTAATTGTTATTATGCTATTGTTTTTAAATGCTTCAATTGTTTTGTAATGTGTGCATTAAAATTGCTGTTGTTAACTGCTTTGAGTCGCCTAAGGGCTAAGAAAAGCGGTATATAAATGAAGTAAATAAATAAAGACTTCTGGCCCAGGAATACCATAGAGTCATGGTTGAGGACCTAGAAAATGCCTAATGAGAACATATTTGGTTGGACATGGGTAAATTAAACCTTGGATACTGCTCTTGTGGATACAGAGGTCATACTGTACATAGAAATTGTAGCAGATATATAAAAAAACCACAACAGCCTCAAAACACACACCACAAATGTGCACATTAAAGAGGATATAACCCATTAAAAATGCAGGAAAGTCCAAGTTAAGTCAAAAAACACACTGTAGCAGGTCCCAGTAGATCCCAGTTTCAGTGGAGGACTCTCTAGCAGAATCCTAGTGTTTACATTAATGCTGCTTGATAGCCTCTCTGTTTAAGACTTTTGGCCATGTCCATCCCAGTATTCATAAATTCTACTCATTGCATTGAAGTAAACACTAGGCCATGGCCATGTCCATCTTAGTATTTCATAAATTCTACTCATTGCATGAGCAACCTACACATCTAACAGCATGGGAAGCAAGTTAGTTCTATTTGACTTTTGCCTTTCTATTTTAGGATCAAGAAGGAAATTGTGTACTTTAGGCAAATGTTATTCTGTCTGTACTCTTGAATTTCTTAACTCCTTGTGTATAATGTGTAAACAGTGAAGAACTTGTTTGTATATATTGATAAACAATTGTCTATTTCCATTGATGTCTCTTTCCATTAATGTCAGGCATTATATCATAAATTTGGGTTCTCTAAACAGATCTTCGCCACTACAGATGTTTTGCACCCTGCAAAATCTGATTAATCGCAATCCAAATTAAATGTATTGATTGTTTACAGTTAAGGGATTTTATTCACTCAGTTCCTTTAATGTCCCTTTTTTACTGTGTGTGTCCTTTAGTTCTAGGAGGACAAGGTGATGTAGCAGCTCAAACAAGGCAGGTGAAAGAAGCTGTTTTTGAACTGAAAGTCAAACAGGAAATACAAGAGGAATTAACAAATCAGCTGAAATGGTGAGCAATGCATTTACAGTTATGTCAAAACTAAATAGACGAGTGCAACTTCTTGGCACGATTCAGACAATTTCTGAATGAGGGAATTGAGTGAAGAAATTTTATGTATTTGTTTCCAGTTTGATTACAATCAATATTAAGTCTTTCTGTATTAATGTGTTGTTGAAGGCTTTCATGGCCAGAATCACTGGGTTGCTGTGAGTTTTCTGGACTGTATGACCATGGTCCAGAAGCATTATCTCCTGACGTTTCACCCATATTTATGGCAGGCATCCTCAGAGGTTGAGAGATCTGTTGGAAACTAAGCAGGTGAGGTTTATATATCTGTGGAATGTCCAGGGTGGAAGAAAGAACTCTTGAGGTGCGTGTGAATGTTGCAGATGGCCACCTTGATTAGCATTAATGGCCTTGCAGCTTCAAAGCCTGGCTGGTTGCTGCCTGGGGGAATCCTTTGTTGGGAGGTCTGCCTCAAGCAGACAAGAGTTCTTTCTCCCACCATGGATATTCCACAGATCTATACATCCTCACTTGCCTAGTTGCCAACAGACCTCACAACCTCTGAGGATGTAGGGGAAATGTCAGGAGAGAATGTTTCTGGAACATGGCCATGCAGCCTGGAAAGTCACAACAACCCTCTATCTGTATTATTATTATTATTATTATTATTATTATTAATTATCTTGAATTACTTTGAGAAATGTGAGGTTGTGATTATCTGCAGACGGCAAATCTTAAAAAGATGCAACAGTTTTGCATTAGATTGCCTTTTTTGTCACACAAAAGCATCATTAGTATAAAAAAAATAACCCATGTCTGAACTGATTTTTTTTTAAATAAAACAATGGAAACTTTTCCCCTGATTCAAATGTAGGCAAGTTCATTTAGGCGAAGATCCAATGTGTCCATCTTTTCAAAAGCAAGTTCTTGAGGACCGAAGGAGGGAGGAAGAAGTGTACAAGGTTTGGTTATCTTTTCATTTTCAAATTAATGGTCTGGGTTTTTGCATTTCAAAATGCAGCTGGGACCTATTTTGGGATGGAGGGAGATTTTGTAACTGTAGAAAAGAATTCAGGCAGAGGAGCAGAGGAGCAGAGGACATCCCGTCTTACTGCTTAAAGACTTATCTTGAAGCAAAGCATACACCACCCTGACTGCCAATGTTTTCATAATCTGAACATGATCCCGCCTTCCATTTGTTCACGATCCACACGGTTCAGATGCCATGCAGAAAAAAGAAAGCAAGGAGGGGTAAAATGGAAACTGTCTGGTTTAGTGTCTTTTGAGATGTCTTGTCTATACACAGTTCGTTTGGCAAAGGATGCTGGGGCTGCGTAACTGCAGTGCTCTCTCAGGAGAACATTGTTATCTACTTATTTGTTCCTAGACTAATTGTACTTTTCAAACCTAGAAGGTTTTCTTTAATCTCAAGGACCCGCGCCCAGTACCTGTCCTTTTAATAGCCACAAGGCCCTGTCTTCCTCAAAGCTTCCATTCTCTTTGCTCTCTTTCCCATTTGAGACCCTATCTCTGTACTGCCATCATTTTGAAATATATACATTTCGCCTGCATCTATGACAGGTATCCTCAGAGGTTGTGAGGTCTGTTGGAAACTAGGAAAATTGGGTTTATATATTTTTGGAAAGTTCAGGGTGGGAGATGGAAGAACTCTTGTCTGTTGGAGCTAGGTATGAATGTTTCAATTGGCCAATTGAAACATTCACGCAACCTCTGAGGATGCCTGCCATAGATGCAGGCAAAATGTCAGGAGAGAGTGCTTCTAGAACATGGCCAACCTACAACAACTCAGAATATGAGGAGAGGTATTGTGTGGCAGCCATGAGGGGTAGGGAAAGGAGACAAAACAGGGGCCCCTTCCACACAGCTGAATAAAACCCACATTGTCTGCTTTGAACTGGAATATATGGCGGTGTGGACTCAGATAACCCAGATATTGTGGGATTTTCTGCTTGATATTCTGGGTTATATGGAGGTGTGGAAGGGCCCAGGGTCACTAACTTGGCTAATGTCTAGATAGAAAAATACCAAAATGCATCAGGTCCCTGAAAGTGTTGATGCTCAGCTATGTTTCCACATGTAGTTTCCATTAGTAATTTGGAAGCACCAGGTGCTTTCTCTCTATGTCTAGGTACACCTTTCTAGACCACAAATAAATAATTGTGTGGGCAGGTAACGCTGGCATCTGAACTGAGCCCGGACATCATAGTGTACACTATTTCAGTCATGAACTCAGCCTGCATTTTGCAAGTTCCTTTGGGAAGAACAATTTATTTACCACTAAATGCATGGCTTTGATTAAAAACCTTATTAATATGCTGAATCTTATTAATATGCTGATTTGTGGTGACAATCCAGATGAAAAGAGGAGATCCCATTCTGGAGAAGGAGTTTCAAAGGAAGCATGTTGAAATTTCCCTCAAACGTATCATCCGAAACAGCACTGAGGTATGCTGGAGTGAAAGAGATGGGTGGGGGGACTGTGTTGCAATCACTATGTTGAGGAGGAAGGAGCTGCTTGTATTCTAGCCACAAAATCCAAGCACATCTAATTGGTTGCATTTGGAGTAGAAAGAATATCAACACCTACATAAGGTATTAGAGAGAGTGTTAATTGTTACTGGGTGACGCCTAGAATTAAGGAATGCATTGTTGATCAGGAAGAAATGAACTGGAGAGAAAGATGGGCAAAATGACGTGCTGGGGCTGTTTCTGAGACCTTGAATTGCAATGTTGGAAAGGTCTCCTGAGGTCTGGTCCTGAGTCATATTTGAGTAAAATTTCAGACACTATTAATCAATCCACATATCTTATGTGTATTTGATAACAGTTGTTAAACTAACTGTTGTTTGACACCTAATTATTAACATTTTATGGTGGCAACATCTGCTCCTGGTGTGTGCTTTAGTGCCCCAAATTCCAGCCAACATTTGATCTCCTGCTGAACAACCCTTGGCAACACAGACACTGGACTCTGCGGCGATTCCAGCAAGCTGCCCGAAAGGTACTGAAACAAATTGCCTCAGGTAAATACCTATATGAACCTGCCAACTACATATATACTCCTCCATTTCCTAGACCACCCCAGAGTTTGTAGATGTGTTTTGCAGCTTTTAGCAATAATAATAATAATAATAATAACAACAACAACAACAACAACAACAACTTTATTTTTGTATCCTGCCACCATCTCCCCGAAGGGACTCAGGGCAGCTTACAGTCAACAGAGTTAAAATATAACACAATAAAAATACATATACAAAACATCATAAAAACATAAACCATCATACAACAACCAGTAGCCGAGCGTCGTAGACATTTCAGAACTAAGGGGCTTTCTAATACAAACACGAATCAGGGAACATGAAAGGCACTGCAAACTAATTAAACCTGGGAAGTCAGCCATAGCAGAGCATCTGATGAACCAACCTGCACACAACATATTATTTGAGAACAGAAATACTGGACCACTCTAACAACCACCATGTCAGACTACATAGAGAAGTCATTGAAATCCACAAGCATGTGGACAATTTCAACAGAAAGGAGGAAACCATGAAAATGAACAAAATCTGGCTACCAGTATTTAAAAAAACTCAGTAAATACATAACAACACTCAAAAACAGGGGGATTCCAGACGAAACAATCAGGGCCAGCTAACACCTTCCACCAAAGGATTCCCCCAGGCAGGAAGCTGCCAAGCTTTGAAGTTGCAAGGCTATTCAATGCTAATCAAGGAGGCCAATTGCAACATTCACACTTGCCTCCAGACAAGAGTTCTCTCTCCCACCCTGGACATTTCACAGATATATAAACTCCACTTGCCTAGTTTCCAGCAATCCCCTCAACCTCTGAGGATGCCTACCATAGATGTGGGCAAAACGTCAGGAGAGAATGCTTCTGGAACATGGCCATACAGCCCAGAAAACTCATAGCAACCCACTTTCTAAAATAATTTTTCAAAAACCTAGATTTAATATCTTTCTCAATTATTTTGAACAGTTCCCATGTGTATATATATATATATATATATATGTATATGTATATGTATATATGTATATATACACACACACACACACACACACACACATATACACAAAACACCCCTATGTCCAACCCCCCCCCCCCCCCCCCCCCCCCCCAAACCAGCCTTTGATTAATCTGTGTGAAAAACATATTGATGGTGTCTCGGGTGCATTTGCACTGTAGAATTAGTGCTGTTTCACTTCCGTGGCTCAGTCCTGTGAAATCCTTTCCTTTACCTTTGGACTGGGAGAAGTTAGAATTAATTACAAAAGAATAGGTTTGGCTGCCATGCTTCTCATACCAAAGATATCATGTTTGGGTAGCACTCTAGAAGCAGGCAGGACATACGGCATTCAAGGAGCGCTATGGATGCCAGTTGTCTCCGTCATGCATGGTTTATTGCTTTAGAGAACACATCATACATTGCTTTGTAAACTGCTGATTAATTTGTTTTATTTAAAGCATTTTTGCTTTTATTACGTGGTATTTGCTCAATACCTTGAGGCTTATGCAAAATGTAGGAGAAAATAAATCAGCAAGTAGTTTATTTTGATAACATTGCTGGCTAGGTTTCCCAGTTTTTTTATTGATTTAATTTGGCTGTCAAGCCAACCCATGGCTGGGGAAGTTGGACTGACTGAACCAAAGCTGCTTTGCATTTTATCCTTCTCATGATATTAAAGGGTACATCTGTAGAATTAATGCAGTCTGACACTGCTTTGCTGTGGCTGAATGCTGTGGAATCCTGGGAGATGTAGTTTGGTGAGGCACCAGCACTTTTAGACAGAGAAGGCTAAAGACCTTATAAAACAGCAACTCCCAGGATTCCATAGCATTGAGCCATGGTAGTTGAAGTAGTATCAGACTGCATTAATTCTACAGGTGAAGATGCAGCCAAAATTAGGACAGCATATGGTGTTCTGCATTTTGAAGCCCTTTTGCATGGTAGGACTTTCTCCCTCACTCTTGCAACTGGCAGTTGCCACAGATCTAACCAAAAATGTTTAAAAGTGCTGCAGAAAGGAGGTTTATAAACTGGAACGTAGGTTGATTTGTTCCTAGCTACAGACTGATAAACAAACCAGGTTTACATACAATTCTAGCCAATGCCAGTTGTGGCTTTTCTTATCTAAGGAAGAGTGTACATGTGTTTTCATGTGTACTTGAAGTAAGACTCAAGTTCTGATTAGATTTCACGAAAGATGTATGCAAGCCGCCATGGGATTCTTTTGAGCTGTATATTTTCTAAAACCTTGAGTTGAGGTATAATTTGTTTTGGAAAACAATGAAAATCATACACATAGAGAGTTCAGACCTCATAAAGCCTAACAACTTAAACAAAAAACAAAACAAAACAAAACAGCACTTATATAATTACCGTATATATTTGAGTACAAGCCAAATTTTTCAGCTCCTTTTTTAGGCCAGAAAAGCCTCCCTCGACTTATACTCTACTCAAGGTTATTTATTATTTTACTCTGTTATTATTATTTTTATTACATTTATTATTTACTTATTATTATTATTATTATTATTATTATTACATTTCCATCTATTATTTTTATTATTTTACTCTATTATTATTACATTTATTATTGTATTCCATTATTACTGTTATTACGTTTATTATTGTACTCTAGCATTACTGATATTACATTTCCATTATTTTACTCTATTATTGTTATTATTACATTTATTATTTTACTCTCTATTATTATTATTGGAAGGATACATAAGCACATTTACATTGAAGAAGATTAGAATAATAGTTTAATCGGCGTTGGACAGTCTTATCTTAAATTACAGTTTTATGTAAACGTTCAAAAACATTTAACCTACTGATGCCTCAATTAATGTAATTTTATTGGTATCTATTTTTATTTTACAATTTACCAATAGCGGCTGCATTTTCCCTGTTTTTTGTGGTAAAATTAGGTGCCTCGGCTTTTATTCCAGTCGGCTTATACTTGAGCATATATGGTACTTTAAGTTCACTGAACACAATTCTTAATCACTCTTCTAGATCCTGCTTCAGTGCCGACTCAATCGTGTGATAAAGAGGCTGCATGGAGTATTTAAGGCGATTAAAGCACAAGAGCTGGAGGAGGCGTTCCTATCAGGGAAAACTCCTGAAGGTTTAGCTGGTTTTACTTTCATTGCTGTGTTTGCTTTATATAGTGATTTTTTGTATTATGAAGGGCAATGACAGCAACCAAGAAAATACATTTTGACATGCTGCATCAGTTCATAGTATCTGGAATGGAGCTGGAAGGGCCATTAAGTCAAACTCCTCACTCAGTGCAAGATCTCCAGCTAAAGTATTTCTATCCAGAGAAGGAGACCCCACCACCTCTTTAGGCAATTGTTGGGCCATTATTACCATCAAGATGTTCCCTCCAATAGTAAATCAAAATCTATTCTCATATAGGCAGTTATTCAATGCCTTAAAACACATACAATTCCAATACTATTAAAATTAAATGTAAATTAAAATTAATACATATTAAGCATATAAAAACATTCAATTCGATATAAAATCACGCCAAGTTCCTTTTCACATGTAGTACTGCTGAGCCAAATATCTCTCATCCTATTTGTTTTTTATGACCTAAATGTAGAATTTTGCATTTCTCTCTCTTGATTTTCATTTTATTAATTTCTGCTCAATTTACTAGTTTAGCAAGATTATTCTGAATTGTGTTCTATCTTCAAATGTGTTGGCCACCCCTCTGAGTCTTATATCATCTGCAAACCTGGTAAAGATCCACTCCACCCCATTACCTAAATCATTCATAAAAATATTGAAGCATAATGGTCCTAGGACAGAAACCCAGGGCACTCCATTTGAGACTGCCATCCAGTTTGAAGCACAAGCATTGAACAATTGAACAGTTTAAAGCACAAGCTCTTTTAAAACCATTTCCCAACCAATTATGGGCCTCTCTGGCAGTATTCCCAACTATTCCATATTTAATCAGAATATTATGGGAAATCTTATCAGATGTTTGCTGAGATACAGATAAATTACATCAATGCATTACCCTCATCTACCAAACTAGTGACCCAATTTTTAAAAGATGTAAGATATTTTAATTGGCTAAATGGCCATCTGTCAGGGGTGCTTTGAATGCGATTTTCCAGCTTCTTGGTAGGAGGTTGGATTGTATGGCCCACAAGGTCTCTTCCAACTCTATGATACTAAGATTCTATGATCATTTGAGAAGGCTTTGTTCCTCATGCTGGTTCATGAGTTCTTGCATGGTGAAATTCAAGAACTTTATCCCAGAACGTCTTAAGAATTTCCTGCAGTAAGAAAATGGCTTCCGAGTCTGATTTTGCAAGGGTTGCAATGTGGTAATGCCTCCTGTGCTGGGCTTTACGTGACAAACACTGAGACAGCAATAGATGCAGGATTCACACAGTTTACTTTGTCTCATAGAAGTGCACAAATGGAGTCAACAAAAATGGGAACGTACTCGATGGGGAGGGACTTTGTCTCCTTTTTGCCTCTGGGCACAGATATGGCATAGAACATGCCCTGCTTCATCTTGAGTAAGAAATAATGGATCATCCCCATATATTACACTTCACTTACTGTTCATTTGTATCTTTCCTTCAACAGACCGCAGGAGCTTCAAAGCAGACAGCATAGCAGCCATAAATGAGGAGAAGAGAATGTCTGTTGCTCTGACTGCCCATCACATACTGCCTTCCGCATCCCCCACTTACAACCCTCCACAATGGGCAGATGATCTGGTAGGTAGTACTGCACACAGACTTTGTTTCATGCGTAAAATTGTTTAAAATACTCTATAACAGCTGGTAGGCTGTTGGGAATTGTGGAACTTGACATCTAAAACACCTAGAGGTCCGAAGTTTACCCATGCACGGGCTAGAAGGAGGCAGGAAGGCCATCCAGGTTGCTGCATAACATCTCCCCCACATTTAAAAAAGGTGGGGAAAACCTTGTGATATAAAATTTTCCAGTCTATTGCTGCAGGTCCTTGTGTCCTATTCACTATAGCTTGTTAGTTCCTGGTTTCTCTGCATGCCAGTTGCCGCTCTCGCTCATGCACTGGGTTGTCTGCTAATTCCTCAAAATAATTTTCAGGAGGATTGGTAAAATAATGCAGTAGAACAAATAAAGCAAATCTTAAATTTAGAACTGCACAAACCCCCAAAACTCACACCAGTCTTCTAAGGACACTTCTACACAGCCATAGAACCCACAATATCAAGGCAGATCATCCACAATATCTGCTTTGAACTGGATTATCTGAGTCCACAGTGACATATAATACAGTTCAATTTGATTTCACACAACTGTGTGAAAGGAGCACAAACTGGTGATTTTAGATGTGCAAAATAATTGTATTCCCCCCCCCCCCTCAGGCACCAGAATTACTTGGTATTGTCCCCATGAAGTCACCAAAAGTTAAGCTCAAACAACTTCACCACTTCTATGAGCTAAAGGTTAGTAGATGCTATTGGTCATTATGTCTTATTCTCTGTTTTTACTTAATGCATTTTGACATAAAAGGGGCTAGATTTTAGAACTTCTAGACCAGAGGTCCTCAAACTAAAGCCCGGGAGCTGGATACAGCTCTCTAAGGTCATTTACCCGGCCCTTGCTCAGTGTTAACCTAAGTCTGAAACGACTTGGAAGCACACAACAACAACAACAACAACAATCCTATCTCAAAAGCAGGCCCACACTTCCCATTGAAATAATGATAAGTTTATATTTGTTAAAAGTGTTCTTCATTTTAATTCTTGAATTGTTTTAAAGTGGGGTATTTTTTGGTTTTTTTGCATTACAAATAAGATATGTGCAGTGTGCACAGGAATTCATTCATGGTTTTTTTTTCAAATTATAATCCGGCCCTCCAACAGTTTAAAGGACTGTGACCTGGCCCTCTGTTTAAAAAGTTTGAGGACCCCTGTTCTAGACATTTGATCTGCTTTTATTTAATTTTGTTAGTAATGCATATTAATGCATTATGGTAGTCCTGCCACCGTCACAAGCGTGGTTGGTGGGGACGAGAGAGAGGGCTTTCTTGGTGGTGGCCCCATGGTTTTGGAACCCCCTCTCCAGAAGGATTAGACAGGCCCCCACACTGTCCTCCTTCCATAGGGACTTGAAGACGTGGCTCTTCATTCAAGCCTTTGAAAATGTTTAGTCCCTAGTTGTCCTGCATAGTAGCCCCATATCCTGCACTTTATCCCGTGCCCTCTCTCCTTCATTGCAGCTGGCACTTGTCTTATTCCTAATGTTTACAACTTGGCCATGTTTACCACCATGGTTAGAAGACCGCACTTGATTGAGTCTGAGTTGATGTTTTAGATGTGCATGTGTTTTATTTTATCACTTCTCGACCTTTTGGTTAAGATCAAGTGTAAGTTTATGGTATTTTATACTGTGTTCACATTTATGTTTGTTCTTAGGCACTTTGTGCCATCTTGTAAACCACTTCGAGATTGTTGTATATAACAGATCTTTATTGTGTAATCTTATATTGTACGTGCAATTCAGCTGATTATTAAGAAATTCTACAGCAGTGCCACCTTTTAATTAATTGTTTTGTTCCAAGGTCCCCCAGCATTTCAGCCTCATGGGATATCAACCGTTCTGCATACACCAGGCAGCAACCAGCTATAGTGTTCCAAAATACTCCCAAACTCTGAGGATAGGTGCAGAGGTAATCCATCACTCCAGCCTTCTTATTTACCCTTCCACTGCTGATTTTTTTTTTTTTTTGTTATAGGTTTAGCCTTTGTGGGGTAAACAGAACCCATGCCAAAACACACTTTTTCTGCCTTCTTTCAGGATGAGCTAATCCCAGTAATACTTGCTTCAGAGGAGGAGCTCCAGCTGGAGGCAGCAGAAGAGGATGAACTTGACACTTCTCTGCTAAACCTTAAAGCTCCTGAAGCTTTGCTGCATCCTCCAAATGATCATCCGCTTCAGGTTTTTGTGAGTAACAAATGGTTAAAGAAAACCACCCCTGAAGAAAGAATGAAGAAGAGAAGGCTATGGAGTTAGATTGTTCTTGCAAAATTTTAAGCTTGTTATCTTAGATCAGTGGTTCTCAACCTGTGGGTCCCCAGGTGTTTTGGCCTATAACTCCCAGAAATCTCAGCCAGTTTAGGATTGTTAGGATTTCTGGGAGTTGAAGGCCAAAACATCTGAGGATCCACAGGTTGAGAACCACTGTTTGGATAATTTGTAGACACACTCATACAGTTAGAATATTCTTGTTTCAGTGTCACTCTTTCTTTTTCCTTCTCAGAATCCTTGCCCAGGACTGCATGAGTTCAAGTCACCATTGTTTTATGCAGAAAGCAGCATTGAGTATCATATTTGCCCCATTCCAAAATATGCACTTACAAGGAAATACCCACTAAAATCCAGTATTCCAGTTACTCAAAAGAAATTCCTGGATCACAAGGTAAGATCTTTTTGGAATGACTGGGACCCCAACGGGTAGAGGTTCATCTCTTAGATGTACAAAGAGATTCAGCAGCTTCGTCTTATGGTGACGGTGTCTTTGTGCTAATTTCAGGAAGTGATTAGTGGTGTCACTAACTGGAAGAAGTTTCCCTCAGTGATCAATTCAACTTTACCTAATGTGCCAGCTCTGAATGGCATCCCAATCCCATTCTGGTAAGAAGGAGCAATCACATTTATCAAAACCTTATGTTTTTAACAAACAAACTTATATTGTCTTGCGTGATGCTTTTCCACTGGAAACAGCCTTGGAAACGACACTCTTGGAAATGCTGGCTGGAAATAACTGGTTTCTTGATAGGGAGCTGAAGACCTTTGCTGAGGCATTTCTGGCAGCTACTTCTCTTACAGGGTTCTGAAGCATTCTTATCTTGCTCTTCATTCAAATGAAAAAGCTCTCCAGGCAGCTTATCGCAACTACTTCAATAAGAAACAAGATAATGTAGGATCTGTCTCGGGTACTTTGGCTTGAGTAGATGAGCAATCACAAATCCCAGAGATGTTCATTTATGTAATCAAAGTATGTTTTATTCAAATTTAAATTCAGAAATTTGTGTATGAAGCATTGAATGTAGTTTGTATAAATCAGGATAACCCTAAATTATGGTCTAGAGAAATCTCTGTTGCAATTCTTTTGCATTTCTTGGAATCACACCTGCATTTTTATCCTATTTTTATATAGCATTGAATCAGGATAACCCTACATTAGGGTCTAGACAAAATCTCTGCTGCAATTCTTTTGCATTTCTTGGAATCACGCCTGCATTTTTATTTGCGAGCTGCTGGAAAACACTATTCTAGTTTCTTAACAAGAGAAATTCACTGAAAGGGAGTACATTTTAGAAAAAAATATTTTGTAAAGTGCGTTTTTGTACATATTTTCCCCACTGAAATACTTTTCTGTGCCCATTTTTCAACTGTATGCATTGTAAATCATTTATATTTTTAAATATAATGTATATTTTTATTGTTCTGAACACAGTAGCAAAATCTAGACTTCTGTTTTGTGGATACACTGGACCCACAAGTCTTAGGAGCTTCAAAACATGATACGTTTGAAAATTTCAAATCCAGGGAAATTCTTTTTCATTCCTATCCTGCTTCCAGGGTATTCTTAAGGGAAGAGGAAGATAATTGAAAAGCTATTCAGAAGAAGGTTTTGCTTAGCACTAACAATATTTGGGGAAAAAATCTGCTTCTGGTTTGAAAGTGTTATTTCCTGTTTAATTGTGTTGTATTTACTTTGGAAGTAGTTGTGATACTGTAGAAAGTTTGTTTTTGTGGCTGCCACAAACTGTGTTGAATTGGTTGAGACTCTATGAGATACTAATTGAAAAACTATAGGAAATGTGCTGCAGGATGTCCCTCAAAAACAAGGTTTTTGCAGTTTAATAAACCCCTTTTCCATGATTTTTTATGACAGACCCAATTAGGAAATGACATTTATAACCCAGGAACAAAAATTGTATTACATGGTGTTATGGCCACTTTGTGACTGTTGTGTTCCTTCAACTTGTTTGCATCATATGCACACCACTCACAGGGTTTTCTTGGCAAGAGAACATTTAGCATTGCCTTTCTCTGAAGCTGAGAGAAAGATAAATAGTCATCTAGTAAGTTTCCATAGTTAAGTAAGAATTCAATCCCTGATCTTCTAAATTCTTACCACTATATCATTTGGGCCATTTACTTATCAGCAGTTTTGTGTACACCAAACAGTTGATCATCTTGGATGCTGGAATTAAATAGTCAAAGGACCTCCCTGTAATCAATCAATCAGCTGGTTGCCTTCAAGGTTCCATTGAATCAATGGAGGGAAAATCCCTAGATACAGAGGACCGTATGTGTGTGTGTGTATGTGTGTGTGTGTGTGTATAGTGGTTGGTACTCTTTAGTTTCTACCCAGTTTGGGTCCTCAGATTATTTTTCCCCCTGTGTCAGGAGCGACTTTAGAAACTGTAAGTTGCTTCTGGTGTGAGAGAATTGACCGTCTTCAAGAACATTGCCCAGGGGACGCCTGGATGTGTTACCATCCTATAGGAGGCTTCTCTCATGTCCCCGCATGAGAAGCTGGAGCTGACAGATGGGAGCTCACCCGCTCCCTGGATGTGAACCATTGACCTTTCGGTCAGTAGTCCTGCCTACACAAGGATTTAACCCATTGCGTTACTGGAAGCTCCTCCTCAGATATTATTGAGTGACAACTTTCATCATTTTTTATTATCTGTCATGTGGACTGGGGATAATGGGAATCGCAACCCAGCAGCACTTGTGGCTCTGAGGTTGGGAAAGACTGAAAGACATTTTAAAGTCATCATATCCACAAGCCTTGTATCTAAAGTAAAACCCTACTATCCCGACTAAATAGAACAAATGGCAGCCTTCCGTATTTTACTGTATCACAACACCCATCAACATCCATTCTAATGATGAGAAAATACAGGAGTTGTCATCCAGTAGCTGGAGGGCCACATAACATGACATGGTGGGTCGGATTCAACCCTTAGACTGTATTATAGGCCTTGACTATTCAGTATTCATTAGAGATTAAATATAAAAAGGTAGGTCAAGTTCAGAAGGAAATATAATTCAATGGGTTGGTATCATATGCATTGTTATCTTACATTTATCTTTGTTACATTTTCAGCATTGGTAAGTAGGAATTCTTTGAAAGAGAAGATTTGACAACGTGTAGAAAACTTCACCTGAGAACACTGTGTGTTCATTATTTTAAATCTGAAGAATAATGGATGTAGATATTGATGCCAAGGAAATATATCAGCTACAGCTTTGTAATTCTCTATTCCACAGCACCGATCCCTATAATGAAGAGATGATGCCAAAAGTTGTGCCTCCAGTTCTGGATGGTTTAGCAGACCAAGACAAGGAGAATGTGATTGAGGAGTAAGGGTTCCCTCTGCTTTTCCTTCTAAACAATGCTGTTGTGTTTCAAAAACCTGGGATGGTAGTTGTTTCTTTAAAATTCCTGTGAAATGAAATTAAATGAATTTCATGTATGCCCTCAAACAACTTTGTGAATTAATTTTTAGAGCAAAAGAAGGTGATGCTACAGTCGTTCTTACCCCAGAGATGATTAAAGCTGAATTTCCACAAATTGGTGGTCCATTGGATATACTAAAAGAAGGAAGGTAAGTTGGTTTCTATGAAAAGGTTAGGCAAGTAGTTAAGAATTGTCTGCATTGATTTAGAAGTTAATTATAAGCAAGCTTCTAGAATAATAATGGCAATGTATAAATATGTGAGGGGAAGTCATTGGGAGGAGGGAGCAAGCTTGTTTCTGCTGCCCTGGAAACCAGGACGCAGAGCAATGACTTCCAACTACAGGAAAGGAAAGGGGATTCTAGCTGAACATGAGAAAGAACTTCCTAACTATGAGAGCTGTTCAGCAGTGGAACTCTCCGCCCTGGAGTGTGGTGGAGGCTCCTTCTCTGGAGGCTTTTAAATAGAGGCTGGATGGCCATCTGTCAGGGGTGCTTTGAATGTGATTTTCCTGCTTCTTGGTAGGGAATTGGACTGGATGGTCCACGAGGTCTCTTCCAAAACAACTGTGAGTTTGAGAGCTGAAAGCCAAACTATCTGGAACACCAAGGGTTGAGGCGATCCAGATGAACCTTACATTACCTTTTCCCTTTACAAATTGAGGATTTTGTAGAATCATAGAGTTAGAAGAGATCTCATGGGCCATCCAGTCCAACCCCCTGCCAAGAAGCAGGAAACTCGTATTCAAAGCACCCCTGACAGATGGCCACCCAGCCTCTGCTTAAAAGCCTCTAAAAAAGGACCTTCCACTACACGCCAGGGCAGAGAGTTCCACTGCTGAACAGCTCTCATCGTTAAGAAGTTCTTCCTAATGTTCAGGTGGAATCTCCTTTCCTGTAGTTTGAAGCCATTGCTCCGCATCCTAGTCTCATTTCATATCCGAATGTTAATCTACAATAATTAGGAATGATTTCACTTGTATTTGTGACAAAAACACAGATGAGATGCAAACTGGTCAAGAAGTGGAGGTTTTATTGGAGAGGCTTCTAGAATGAAAGACAGACCTCCTCAATTGAATAGAACTGTTCTGCTGAGTTCAAATCTTTGCTAAACTCCCCCTGTTTGAACCATGTTTTCTTCGATTTTTCTAACAAAGGGCCCTTACAGACATGCCCTAAATCCCAGAATCTGATCCCAGGTTTTCTGCTTTAAACTTGATTATATGAGTCCGGACTGCCAGATAATCTTGGATAAACAGAAAACCTGGGATCAGTCCTGGGATCTAAGGCCTGTCTGGAAGGACCCAAAATTATATGTTTTGTTCTATTTGCCAATGAACTTTATAATGCTGATTTTGTGGCCCTGGTTAAGCCCATTAGTTTTTACTTCCAAGCTCTTCAGGTGTCAAAGGAGATGGTGAGAACTGTTTTTGTTTTGTTTTTTTGGGAATGTGTTCTTCGGATTAGTTTAATTAAACTGAATCAGTAGTCGTGAAGGCATATCCAGTAATTCTGTGTAAAAGTCCAAATGAATGGTAGATTAAGCCAGTGAATTTGATGTACGGCACAATTTTGTTGGCTGCTTTTAATAGCCACCAGAGAGGGGGTCACAATTGGAAGAAACACAGATATAAGCCTCATCCACACTGCCATATTGCATTATGAAACTGCATTATATGGCAGTGTAGATGGGGCCACACGCACACCCACATATCAAGAAACTGCTGCCCAGCTTGAGAAGCCAGGTTTTGCTGGTTTCCTCCAAAGTTTCTGTCTCAAAGCGGATAGCAGCTGGACTTGGAGGATTTTCATATGGGCCTATGGCATAGGAAGTAAGAGTGGAGTCTCTTTCTGCATGCTGATCACCTATTTCCTTTCAGCTATTATTTAAACAATCATCAGGAAAATTATATTCATTCATTTATTTAGTTGCTTTGATTACTTTGTTCCTTAGACCCATTAAAATCAAATAGAACTTGCTTCTCTTAGGAAAAAAAGTTGTTAGTATCCTTGTGGCAGTTAGGAATTGCTTTCTCTTCCCAGTGATGTAAATGGAGAGCTTAAAGATCCTTCTTGCACGTCTCTGAATCCAATACCTGTTTCCAGGTAAGTGACTAATGGGAATATTTAAAGACATTGAATTGCCAAAGCTTGAATCTTTGTAAAAAAAAATCCAAAACACTATATTTTATCACGCCATAGTGGAACAGATTTTGTATTGTTTAGCTTTTTTATATACTATAAAACATGATAAGAAGCTAAGTACCATATATATGCAAGTATAAGCCAACCTGAATATAAGCCAAGGCATCTAATTTTACCACAAAAAACTGGGAAAACATATTGACTCGAGTATAAGCCGAGGGTGGGAAATGCAGCAGCTACTGGTATATTTCAAAATAAAAATAGATACCAATAAAATTACATTGAGTCATTCGTAGGTTAAATGTTTTTGAATATTTGCATAAAACTGTAATTTAAGATAAGACTGTCCAACTCTGATTAAACCATTATTCTAACCTTCTTCAATGTAAATCCTTCCAATTATAATAGTTAAATAATGAATGTAATAATAATAATAATAATAATAATAATAATAATAATACGAGTAAAATAATAAATATAATAATAACAATAATAAAGTAAAATAATAAATGTAAAAATAATACAGTAAAATAATAAATAACCGCAACTCAAGTATAAGCTGAGGGGGAATTTTTCAGCCTAAAAAGGGCTAAAAACTTGGTATATACTCAAGTATATACCGTAATAGAACTTCCCAGTTGAAACTTTCTTCCTATCATTTCAATTCACTCTTTCCACTCTATATTTCTGTACAATGTTGTCTATTACAATTCTAGAAATAATTTAGTTTCTTTTGAGTCATGTCCTGAACTATTATTTTATTCCTTTCCAGAGATGCAAGGGACATTGTGGACTGGTATGTCCAAGCCCAGAGCAACGTATTTGGGCAAAGGGTTGAAGAAAATATGGAGAAACTCAAAGAAAAGACCATCCAAAAGAGCCTAATCCTAAACTAAATGTTATCTCTTTATTATGGGGACATTGTTTTACTTATACATTTTCATGGGTCAGCCAAAACTGCTGCTGCTGCTGCTGCTGCATTTTTATACATTCAACAGGTTTCTGGTGGAAATACAAGGTGTGAACAATTATAATTTCACGTAACCTTTCTCAGTATTGCAAAATAGATGTTACATGAATTATGACATATGTCTGTGTTTCCCCTCACTAGCTATGCATTTTGTATTTGAGAAAAATATTATGGGTAAGCAATCCTCTCTTCCTTCAGCCGATTCCATCAATTAATACATAAAAAATGAGTGAAAAATTCTAAGTGAGCAATAAATATCATTGGTTGAGTGCACCCTTGCCTCCCAGATATTTATGATGTTACAGAAATGACGTCTGATAAAAGTCTATGTATATATTTCTCCGCATTCAAATTTAGTCCAATGCCTTCCCATCCATGCACACAAAGAGATTATTTTCATAAGACTTTAAATAAAGTGTTTTAATGTATTATTTTCCAATAAAATGTGGACAACTAGTATACTTACTCTGTATTGACTTTTGCTGTCTAGTGGTTTGGCTGCAATTATGAACTTGATCGCAGTGGGCTTCCAGGTGCAGCTGTTATATTGCAAACAAACTCTAAAATAAGGACAGTTAATAAAGAGCAAGACCCAAAAACAGGGGGATTACAGACAGGAAACAATCAGGGCCAGCTAACACCTCCCAACAAAGGATCCCCAGGCAGGAATTGGCCAGTCTTTGAAGCTACAAAGCCATTCATTGGTTGATCTAGGTATGAGGTCTCAATACAACTACAATCTTTCAAACTCCATTGTGAACTTCTCTCATCTTGGTTAAAGTACTAATTGATGATTTTTGGCTTCTGACCCACAGTTGGAATAGTGTAGGTCTATTGAACATGGGTCTCAAAACAAAAGTGATTTGAAGCCAATTAACCAAAGATACTGTTAATTCGAGACATGAACCAGTCAGGGCCAGCTAACATCTCCTAACAAAGGATTCCCCCAGGCAGGAATCAGCCAGGCTTTAAAGCTGCAAGGCTTTGCAATACTAATCAAAGTGGTTAATTGCAACATTCACACTTACCTCCAACAGAAAAAGAGTTATTTCTCCCACCCTGGACATTTCACAGGTCCCTTGCTTAGTTTCCAATATACCTCACAACTTCTGAGTGTGCCTGCCTAAATGTGGGCAAAACCTCAGGAGAGAATGCTTCTGGAACATGGCCATACAGCCCGGAAAACTCACAGCAACCCAGTGATTCCGGCCATGAAAGGTTTTAACAACACCTTGATACTGATCCTATTTCAGGCCAGGAGCTGTTTGGTTATCAGTATGGGAGTGGTCTCAGCAGCAACAAGCTTAAATCTAAACCTTTATTTGAAACACGAACAAAGCCTGAGGGAAATGTCATGTAAACTAATGTCCACAAATAAGTCTGAACGTGTTAAATAGATCTGCTTCATTTCCCCTGTGTTTGTAATGAGATTCATTTGGTAAACAATTTTGTTTCCTTGCTTAGTTCTCTGTTTTAGGTCTGGCTCACTTATCAAAGGGATATTTTATTAGCTAACTTAATATACAGATATATTACAATGTCACATTATGCTTTTCAGTAACACCACAACTGCATAAAAACTGTCCAGCTTATTGTGTTTATTAATTCACAAACAGGTTTCTTGAAAATCAGATACATGCTAATAATAATAATAAGCTCGTTTCCACAGAAAAATACTGTATACTTTAACAACAGGAATCATTCTTGCTATTTCTTAATATGTATTAAAATAATACATGTTAACCAGCTTCTTAAATGAATGAGGACAGAAGAAATGAGGCTCCTGATTTGCCCTGTGCTTGTTCCATTTTGAAAACTTTTAAAAGGATTATTTTAAAGTTTTAGGATGACACTGCTGTTTTAGAGTCACCGTGGACAGAGGATTTTTTGTGCTCCTTAATGTGAAATGCTATTATTATAGAACATTATCACTTAGTTCAGTGCTTCTCAACCTGTGGGCGTTTTGGCCTACAACTCCCAGAAATCCCAGCCACTTTACCAGCTGTGTTAGGATTTCTGGGAGTTGAAAGCCAAAACATCTGGGGACCCACAGGCTGAGAACCACTGATGTACTTGTTAAAATAATGGAATCCCACATTGTATATTCAGAAATAAATCTCACCACATTCAATTATACAGAAAACTGGGCAGAGAACTGCAGACAAAGTGCTGCAAAATAATTTTAAGGTTCTGAAGCTATTACTATCAATTCAGTCAGATTTTGCTTGGCTGTCTTCCAAGTCATCCCTGCTGCGTGATACTGATTACTGGCCATGCATGTCACTTGATTATGTTTTGCATCCTGCTAAATGAGGATACAAAGGTTTAATTCCCATTCTTTCATACTAGATTTGCATATTTAATTTCCTGTGTTGCGGCCTTGAAAAAACATGCTTTTGTTATGGCACACTGTTTCATAGGAATATGTAGTCATGGCTTTAGTCCACAAAAACAATGTCCATAGTGGTTTCATAGAGACAGAAGTCGACAACATCAGTTACCAGACTTAGCAGCAGCAGCTAAACATTTTGTCCTGGTGACCACTGTAGGGAACTTCTAGTATGTTGTTGTTGTGATTCTTGTGTGCTTTCAGGTCATTTTTGACACATGGGGTTTTCATGGCAAGATATATTCAGGGGAGGTTTGTCACTGAACTTCCATAGAAACTTGCCCAAGTTCATCCAGTAGGTTTCCATAACTAGGTGGGGATTTGCACCCTGGTTTTAGTCCAACTCTCAGGCCACTACAGTACACTGGCTCTCACCTCTAGTGTAGTTCACCACAAGTATTGTTTAAATAAACAAAAAAAAAAGCAAAATAAAAAGGAAGATCCATTGCACTTTTTGGATCAAACTGGGCAGTGGAATATTGGTTTCACAAACCATGCTCCTTTTTTAAAAACCCTTAGACTACTCGGTCGGGAACACAAAGTTACTACCATGGGTTAGAACAAGCATGGGCAAACTTGTGGAACCGACCAAGAGGCCCAGGCCAGGAGGGAGGGCAGCCAGGCTTGCTCTAGATGGGGCCGGCTGGGAGGGAGAGGGTCTGTAAGAGGGTGGGGCCAGGACAGGGCAGGTCAGTGCCTGGGTCATCCTCAGGTTGTCCTCCTGGCATAAGGATGGGATGGCCTTATGTCAGGAGGAAAACAAGACATGCAGTGACTGCCCTGATCCTCCTCCCTGATCCTCCTCCCCCAATCTTCAACATTATGCTAGGAGGAGAGTGAGACAGGAACGGCTGAAAGTGCTCCAGAGGGCTCTCACATGCTGCGTGTTTTTGGTCACCTTTAGATTCAGTTTAGTTATTTGGGGTGCTGATTCATAAAATTGCATTGGATAGACCACATCAGCTCTAGTTTCTGATACAGGACATGTGCCATCCAGTAGTCACCACCTTTTTGCCCACGGAAAACCATATTTAATAAGCCTCAGCACTATACGAGGATTTCACAAGACCGGTTGTTCTCGTTGCAATGGTGTAGTAATAGTGAGGCCATGAACCATATTTCAGTTCTTGTAGGCCACTGGTGGTCCATAGACCACAAGTTGGGAACCACTGGTGGAAACAGATTTCTGACTAAGTTGCTACATAGAAAAAATAATGCTATGTCTCTAGTCTGACAAGTTTATTTCCATCTTCCCCTGCACTATTTGTTTAATGCACTAGATGGCAACAGCACCATGTTAATGAAATACCCCAAAAAAGGACATAAAAGAAATTTTATACCACATTCTTCTCCTCCAATGGAACTCGAAGTGGCTTACAAGAATTTAAATCAAAATTTGGCTAGATTATGTTATGCCTACTTTTTAAAAAAATGAAAAACTCTATTAAAAAGAGCATTGTTAAAGCAATTTAAGGGACATTTAAAGTATTAAGAAGCACAGAGCACCATGTTGAAAACAATGTTCTATCGCATGTAAGAGCCAAAGACCTGCCTAAACAAAAAGTGTTGGCTTGCTAGCAGAAAAAGACTGCTGGGTGGGTGTGTTTCAAATGCACTTCCCACAAAATGGATTTACACAGCCTGTGAGTGGTTTTCCCCAAAGTGGTTTTCACCAAACCATCACCATCACTACTATCATTTCTACTCCACTTTTCTCCCAGGACTGGGACCCCAAAGCAGATACCAAACATGCTATATTGGTGGAGGTTAGAGAAAGCCCTCCCCCAAAAATCTTAAAACTCAGAGAGACAGGATATTTCCTGTAGTCTGGACACAAGCCATGTATAGCTTTAAAGATCCTCATTAACACTGAATGATGCCCAGAAAGCGCCAGTGAGGCTATTTCAATAAGGAGTTATATGTTCCCTAAAACCAGGCCCAGTAAGCCACCATGGCTGATTGCATTTAATTTCATATCTAGTGTTCAAAAATCACTGCTGGGTTCTCTCCATATCAGTTAGCAGCACAATATGATTGAAAGGTTGAAACTGGTATGGAAAGGCTACCACCGTGCATTTATTTACTCGTTGCTGTCCTTCTGACACTCTACATCGAAGGTGAATTGAGAAAGCATAACCCTACTTGTTCTTTTGGATGTTTCTGTGCACCATGGATCCTGCAATCCTTCTGGATTGACTCTGGCAAATGGGAACTGAGATCAAAATTCATGCACTTACAGGGCAATGCTATGCATCTTTATATAGAAGTAAGCCTCACTGTGTTCAATGGGACTTACATCTTAGTAAATGTGAGTAAGTAAGTTGCTTATTTATTAAGTAAGAGCCCATGTGACTAGAATTTCAAGTTGAACAAGGTTCAAATCCTTACTCAGCCATAGATGCCCATGAGGTGGCCTTGAAGAAGTCACACTCTCTCAGCCTAAAGGGAAAGTACTGACAAATTTCCTCTGAAGTAATCTGACCAAGAAAACCCCAGAATTGGAGCCATCATATCAGAGTCAATTCAAAAACATGTAATAACAAAGTGTACTTAGGGTCACCTGGGCATTAGTCAAAGCAGTTGGGCTTCAGAAAAATTGGCCTGAAGACACTGATGTTGAAAACATTTCTAGATGGTACAAAGATGTGTCATTCCTAATCCAAAAACATATTCCTGGAAGACCACATGAAATCACACAGCGGGCTGAATTCAACCCATGGTCCTTGAGTTTGACACAGATGGAAAAGGGATATTTAGGGTGTGTCTACTTTGGGAGTTGTAGCATAACAAGGCCTTTACCCTTTTCTGCCTAAGTGTGCTGGAGCCTCACCAAACCAGAACACTGGGCCAGGGCAGTTCAAGTGGTATCATTACCTTTAAAGCCCTAAACCAGTGTTTCTCAACCTTACTAATGCCGTGACCCCTTAATACAGTTCTTCATGTTGTGGTGACCCCCAACCATAACATTATTTCATTGCTACTTCATAACTGTAATTTTGCAACTGTTATGAACCACAATGTAAGTATCTGATACACAGGATGTATTTTCATTCACTGGACCAAGTTTGGCACAAATATCCGATATGCCCAAATTTGAATACTGGTGGGGTTTGATGGGGGATTGATTTTGTCATTTGGGAGTTGTAGTTGCTGGGATTTATAGTTAACAATCAAAGAGCATTCTCAACTCCATCAATGAAGGAATTGAACTAAACTTGGCACACAGCACTCCCAGAAAATACTGGAAGGGTTTGGTAGGAATTGACCTTGAGTTTTGGAGTTGTAATTCACCTACATCCAGAGAGCACTATGGACTGAAACAATGCTAGATCTGGACCAAACTTGGCACATATACTCAATATGCCCAAATGTGAACATTAGTGGAGTTTGGGGGGTGGGGGGGACCTCAACATTTGTATGTTGCAGTTACTGGGATTTATAGGTAAAGGTAAAGGTAGTCCCCTGACATTAAGTCCAGTCATGTCTGACTCTGGGGTGTGGTGCTCATCTCCATTTCTAAGCCGAAGAGCCAGCGTTGTCCGTAGACACCTCCAAGGTCATGTGGCCGGCATGACTGCATGGAGCGCCGTTACCTTCCCGCCTATTGATCTACTCACATTTTGCATGTTTTTGAACTGCTAGGTTGGCAGAAGCTAGGGCTGACAGCGGAAGCTCATGCCGCTTCCCGGAATCGAACCTGCGACCTTTCGATCAACAAGCTCAGCAGCTCAGTGCTTTAACCCACTGCGCCACCAGGGGCTCCATACTGGGATTTATAGTTCATCTAAAATCAAAGAACATTCTGAACCCCACCAACGATAGAATTGGACCTAACTTCCCACACAGAAACCCCATGACCAACAGAAAATACTGTGTTTTATGATGGTCTTTGGCAACCCTTCTGACACCTTCTCGTGACCCCCCTCCCCAGGGGTCCCGACCCCTAGGTTGAGAAATGCTGCACTAAAAGGTTGCACTAAAACCGCATCTCCAGATATAAGCCTGCCCATGTGCTACAATTGGCAGAGGAGGCTCTGCTCTCAGTCCCACCCCTACCTGGTGGGAACGAGAGATGGGGCCTTCTCTGTAGTTGTTCCCCACCTCTGGAACTCCCTCCCTAAGGAGATCAAATTGCCCCCCTCCTTCCTCTCTTTCCAGCACAAGGTCTTTACCTTTTTATGTTCACAAGCATACAGAGAGGAGGACACACAGAACATCTGGCACAAATATAATGGAAACGGAATATAGAAATGGCATGCTACTTTGGCTTTTACATTTTATATTTTTATTAGTTCTAATTTTAGGTCTTGACCTTCAATGTTTATTTTTCAAATGTAATTTGAGTTATGTCATGACTAATTTGTTAGGACATTACTTGTGGTTGTTTAATAAGTTTTATTTGATTTATGTTGTTTGGTTGTTTCAATTTTGGTTACACTTGATGGCATTGGGTGTTTGCTGCAAACCACCCTGAGTCCCCATGGGGAGATAGGGCAGGATAGAAATAAAGTTTATTATTATTATTTCTACTACTACTACTACTACTACTACTATTTGATACAAAACAAGATTAGTACACAGTAAACAAGATCACTCTGCTGGTTGTCTGACACACGTCTGACACTTCTCAAATGTGTGATGTATCAACAAATGTGATGTATCAACAAATAGTGCATGCAGACCTGAGTAGGGTGGCCTTTTGCAATCGACAGATGGCAGCTTTGTCAGTGCCAATTGTTTTGAAGTGCAGGCCAAGGTCTTTAGGTACTGCACCCAGTGTGCCAGTCACCACTGGGACCACCTTTACTGGCTTGTGCCAGTCTTTGCAGTTTGATCTTTAAATCCTATTATTATTATTATTATTATTATTATTATTATTATTATTATTATTATTTGAAACACAACAAAATGCATCCATAGCAAACAAGATCACTCTGCTGGCTGTTGTGTTGAATCACACATTGGACACTTCCCAAGTGTCTAGGACTATGTGACGTATCAGTGAATAATGTGTGCAGATCCAAGTAGGGCGACCAGAGGTAATTTTCAACGGTAAGCAAACAGTATTTTGGCGCCCCCCCCCCCCCACCAACCAATCATTGATATATATTTTCTGTTCGTCGTGGGAGTTCTGTGTGCCATATTTGGTTCAATTCCATCATTGGTGGAGTTCAGAATGCTCTTTGATTGTAGGTGAACTATACATCCCAGTAACTACAACTCGCATATGTCAAGGTCTATTTTCCCCCAAGAGCACCTCAAGAGCGCCCCTGGGCAAAATCAACTATACTGCAAATGCTTACTTTGCATAATGGGTTGAGCAGCCCCTGAGGGTGACCTTTTGTAGCTGACAGATGGTAATTTTGTCAGTGCCAATTGTTTTGAAGGGCAGGCCAAGGTCTTTAGGCACTGCACCCAGTGTGCCAATCACCACTGGGACCTTTACTGATTTGTGCCAGAGTCTTTGCAGTTCGATCTTTAATTTCTATTATTATTATTACTATTATTACTATTATTATCATCATCAAACTGCATTCATCATTCTACAGTGGGTTTCCCACACGTTGGTCTTCCAGCGGTTTGGGACTTCAGCTCCCAGGATTCCTGACTGTGTTGGCTGTGCTGGCTGGTCCCAAACAGCTGGAGAGTCCAAGTTTGGGAGCCAATGTTTGCGCCTGGCCTGTAGAGGGCGGCAGAGAGCGCCTAGAGCCCAGGTGCCCTCACCTGTCCTATGGCATCCCTTGAGGGGGCGGGGCGGGGAGGGGAGGGGGCGGGGCTAAGGACCCACAACAACACCTGAGTGGCGTTGACCTGAGTCTCCAAAGGAGGGGCTCCAGAAGAAGAGGAGGAGGAGGCGAAGGCAGCGGGGTCCCCTTTGGAAAACTTGGCGCCTTAGAGCTCGGAGAAAGAGAGAGAGAGATCAGGAGAGCTCTCCTCCTCCTTCTCTTCCTCCTCCTGCTCTATGTCCCGATGGAGGCGAGTGGAGGGGACGCTGCTCTCCCGGGGCCGGGGCCGGACCCTCGCCCCGTGCCGCCTGCCTTGCGGGCGCTGGGCTCGTTCGTGGGGCGAGCGGGGCTGTGCTTGGCGCCGGTCTACCTGGCGGGCTCCCTGGGGCTGAGCCCCATCTGGCTCCTCATGGCGCTGCTCCTCTGGATGTGGTGGCGGAGGAACCGGAGGGAGAAGCGCTCCCGGCTCTGCGCCGCCTTCGGGCTCCTCGAGGACGAGGCCCAGGCCATCCGGCAAGGCATCGCCCGCCAACACATGCCCGCCTGGGTAAGTAAGTAAGTAAGTAAGTAAGTAAGTAAGTAAGTAAGTAAGTAAGTAAGGAAGGAAGGAAGGAAGGAAGGAAGGAAGGAAGGAAGGCTCCCCCCCCCCCCTTGGACTGCCCTAAGGTTCCCTCTCTTGGAGGAAATCCCAGGAGTTGAGTTGAGTTGAGCACTCTTCCGTAGACAAGAGTGTCCAACTACAGACAGGCCCCAAGTGACCCACAAGATTGTAGGTTTGTTCGCAAGTTGAATTTGTTTATAAGTTGGAACAGGTACATTTTTCAGTGTAGCTCCAGAGAGAGAGAGACAGAGAGAGATGCTTCTTATTATGGCCCATTCAACCTCACTCCTCGGGATGTCTGGTTCACACACACATATATAAGAACCAGACATCCTGAGGAGTGAAGTTGAATGGGCCATAAGAAGCATTGCTAATAACTTGGCAGCAGGAGACATATACATATGCATACATACACAGGTACTTCCCTGTGATGTTTGCTTTGCTGCCTATGCTCCTGTGTCTTATATATGTATCTATATAAATAAAAATGTAATGTTTGTTTGTGGGATTTACATAACTCTAAAACCAGTGGGCGAATTAACACAAGACACGAGTAACCATCACTCATTAAAACACTGAAAAACACAGCAGAAGAGACTTTAAAAGCCAAAAGACAAAATAATACATTACAATGCATGTGGAAAACCACATATATACACAAACACATATATACACATATACACAAATATATACACACACATATATGCATATATGCACACAGAAAACACATATACACAGACTGGGCCACAGCAACGTGTGGCAGGGGACAGCTAGTATATATATATAGAGAGAGGGGAGGGATAGGACACAGGAGCATAGGCAGCAAAGCAAACATCACATGTGCGTAGGTATGTATATGTCTCCTGCTGCCTTGTTATTAGCAATGCTTCTTAAGGCCCATTCAACCTCACTCCTCAGGATGTCTGGTTCTAATTCACTCATCACACCATCAAAACTATTCTCTATATTATTATCCTTCCTATACAGTATATCTATACAGTATATCTTCCTATACAGTATATCTATACAGTATATCTATACAGTATATCTATACAGTATATCTATACAGTATATCTATACAGTATATCTTCCTATACAGTATATCTATACTTCCTATACAGTATATCTTCTGTATACTCTAAAGGAGCTGGGGGTGGTGATGACCAACAGGGAGCTCTGGCGTGGGCTGGTCCATGGGGTCACAAAGAGTCGGAAGTGACTGAACGAATAAACAACAACAAAAAATATGTAGGAGGGTGGGTCAAAAAGTAATGCCTCCATCGCTCTAACTTTGATTTCTTTCCCAGCTACTGGACTATCTATGTATGTTATGATAGAGGTCATCTTACTCTACTGATATAGTCTTTTCTTTTTCTGATTGACTGATGAGAACCATGAATCTGAAGCTAAAAAAAGAGTCTTCACTGAATTTCTGGCCAAAGAAGGTTGTGCCCCTAAGGAAACCCATAATCACTTGAAGAATGTTTATGATTTGGCCCCTTCTGACTTTGACCTGTTTGGACCTCTGAATGACAGCCTATGTGGTTTCAGATTCAATGACTTGAATGATGTTAAAACAGCTTTAAAATCATGGCTCACGAAGCAAAACCCTGAATTTTTCCAAAATGGTTTTGATGTCTGGGTGAAACAATGGCACAGATGTGTACAAATTGATGGTGACTATGTGGAACAGTAGTTTTGGGTAGAGGACACTTCAGGCTATGATCTGTAGCAACTTCTGCTGTTATATGTTAATTCATAACGTTTTTATGACACAGGAGGCAGAACTTTCTGACCCACCCGTTTATGTGTATGTGTAGTTATATATGCACACACACACACATGCTTCCCTGTGGTGTTTTGTTTTGTTGTTGTTGTTGTTTTTTGTTGTTGTTTTTGCTGTCTGTGCCCTTGTTCAAAAGATTTCCCCTCACTTTATGTCCCTGTGGGAATTGGATTTTGAAAATTTTGATTTGTTGTGGAAACAAGGATTGGTGAGAAAGCTTCAGTGGAGACACCTTTCCCCCCATGATAATAACTCTTTCAGGAGTGAATTTCCCTTCTTAAGGGTAGATGTCTCTCACTTCCTGTCGTCTCGCCCTCGTTCTTAACTATGAGCCATTTGTAAGTTGGATGTTTGTACACAGGGATAGCCTGTACAACTCACAGAATCATAGTTAGAAGAGACTACAAGGACTATCCAGCCTGCAATCAAAACACTCCTGACAGATGGCCATCCAGCCAACCTCTGCCTGAAAGCCTACAGAGAAGAAGGCTCCACCAGGGCCCAAAGAAACATTCCAGCCTCCCATAATTTTATAGCATTGAGTCATTCATGTGGTATCAACGGCATTCATTCTACAAACTTAGATGTGCCCTGAGTCAACCCAAAGTCTCTGGGATTTTTCAGCCCCGCTTCATATCCAGCCATGGGACAAGCTTTGGTAATGCAAAAGAATGGTTGGGCAACTAGAGCTTGTTAGGCTGGATGCTGAGCATAGTTAGCAAGTCTCCTTACCATCCCATCTCCAAGTGCATGCTGTTTTTCTGGAAGGGGGCCTATAAAGCGCAGTGTGTTGCTCTGTGTATTGCAGCTTGAAAAAGTCACTTTGTGGGGAATGTGACTGGTGGAACCCCCTAATAGATAGAGGCTGTCTGGGGGATTCTGGAAACTGTAATAAAAAAGGCTCTCCAAAGTTGTTTTTGAGTCCTGGCTTCAGTCTCAGGAAGAACAGGGCAAACCTCAATCAATCTTGCAAAAAAAAATCATATTGGGTTGGGTTTGGGTCACCAAAAAGTTGGGGACCCAAGCTTGAAGGCACACAACAACTTGGGGTTTTTTTGCCAAATTGAATTTAAGTTGTTAATAAGTGAAAGGCCTACATCACACATGGGCAAACTTCAGCCCTCCAGGTGTTTTGTACTTCAACTCCCACAATTCCTAACAGCCTCGGGCCCCTTTTCCAAGCGGCCGAGGAGAAAAAGGAAAGGGCCCTAGGCTGTTAGGAATTGTGGGAGTTGAAGTCCAAAACACTTGGAGGGCTGAAGTTTCCCCATACCTATCCTACATGATGGTATCTACAGTTTCCCCTACTAATATTACAACTGGACTTGCAGTAAACATGTCAGTGCTGAAGTAAGTCTATGGGGTTATTTAGTTCATATTTATTGTATTTATACCCCCTTTTCCCTAAGATCTGCTCAGTGGGGTCCCAGCAAGCCCTGTGGACTTGAAAGGGGACAAACAATTTATTTGTTTACCTGTCTTGTTACATTTATATCCCACCTTTCTTCCATCTCCCTTCTCCAATTAATTACATTCATGTTGAGGCCTTCATGGCCAAGTAATGATTTGAATCTAGATCTTCTCAGTTCTAATATAATACTCTGATCACGATACCATTCCAGCTTATGTGAGCCAAGGTCCCCAAATACGTTTCGCGTTAGACTCTTAGTCCTTACTCCTTAATTTACAAAGTGGATTGTCTTAACAATGAACTTGAACCAGGATATTATTCATCAAGGAATGGGGGAAAGGAATTTAAAATGCTTTATTGCTAATACACAGTCTGCTTCTAACTCTTGAACAGTCTTCATTAGCTAGTGACTAATGTTGCTCCTGCAAAGCATTGTTGCCTTGTCACGGTGCTGGAGCTTCAGCGCCTCAATGATGCCATGAGTGAAACCGTGAAGGGACACCCAAGACGGGAAGGTCATGGCAGGGAGGTCAGATTAAATACGATCCTTGGGAAAGGTAATGGCAACCCATCCCAGTATTCATGCCACAAAAACTAAATGGATCAGTACAACCAGAGATATGTCAATATACCATCAGAAGATGGGACTTCCAGGTCAGAAGATGATCAAATCCCTATAAAATAGTGAAGAGTAGACTGGCAACCAAGATCCGCATAGTTAAAGCAATGGTATTCCCCGTAGTAACCTATGGATGTGAGAGCTGGACCATAAGGAAGGCTGAGCGAAGGAAGAAAGACGCTTTTGAACTGTGGTGTTGGAGGAACATTCTGAAAGTGCCTTGGACCACAAGAAGATCCAACCAGTCCATCATCCAGGAAATAATGCCCAGCTGCTCACCGGAAGGAAGGATATTAGAGGCAAAGATGAAGTTCATGAAAAGACAGGAAAGCTGAGAGAAGACAATGATGCCGGGGAAAATGGAAGGAAAAAGGAAGAGGGGCTGACTACGGGCAAGATGGATGGATGGCATCCTTGAATTGGCTGGTTTGACCTTGAAAGAATTGGAGCTGGCCTGGGCCAGCTGACAGGGAGTTCTGGCGTGGGCTGGTCCATGAAGTCACAAAGAGTCAGACACGACTGAACGAATAAACAACAACAACGTTTTTTCTTTGATTCTGCCAACAAATGTAGTAGGGTATATTTCCTCCTTCATTTAAAAACACTTGGTAAGAACTGAAGTTACTGCCATTTACAACGGAAAACATGATAACTGCAGGGAAATTTATGCTCTCAGAAGTACTTAAGAGCTGAATACCTTGATGTCGCCTCTTTGCCTTTGAATGACACAGAGAGAATATGTTTATTGCTACAAAACAAGTGACATGAAAGCATTTTTTAGACTAGGCTTGCCAACAATGGATGGAATTTCTATATGTGTACAATTTTATGCATGCTTTAAAGTTTTTAGTGCTTTCTTGAAATGGGAGCGGCCTTCATAAAATACATCAATAAAAATGCAACTCTTGAATCAGTCCTGCTAGCCAGCTGGCTAGCTAGTAGTCTAGACCTTTACTAATACAAAACTCCTATATTTTATCATACTATTCTTTGGCATGTAATGTGTTGTTGTTAGTGTTTGCCTTCAAGACAAATCTGTCTTATGGCAAATGTATCACAGAATTTTCTTGGCAAGATTTATTTAGAGAGGGTTTGACTTTGCTTGCTGAGAGGGTGTGACTTGTTCAAAG